CTAGAAACCACAGTTTATCCCAAAGCCATCAAAACTCCATGCATTCTGAATTCCAACACAAGCCATCCATTGACACACAAAAAGAGTTGCATCAGAAGACTGTACAGCAGTGTGAGAACCCACTGTAATACCCAGCAAGCCAAACAACTGGAGAGTAGGAACAATTCAACCAGAATGGGTACCCACTATTATTTGTCACAAGACACAAGATGGTGGAGAGAGGAAGGAAGAAACAAGGTACAAAACCAACCACACGGCATGCCTTGCCATACATCAAAAACATTTTGGAAGCTGTAGAACATAGCTTTTGAGATCTGCAACTAGGCATCACACACCACCCAGAATTACCACACGAGGACAAATTATGCATTGCAAAGGTCGCTTGGAGGTGGCAGATACTTCCAATGTGATCTACCGAATCCACTGCAACTGTCCCTGTGACTGTGTAAGAACAGATGGGTAGGAAGCAAGCTATCAGATTGCAAGAACACAAGCAAGCGGTCAGATGAGGAGACTCAAACTCATTAGTAACCTCACACTACAATGAACAAGAACACACATTCAATTTTTCAGCTACTAAGATTGTTGGACAAGCAGACACAAAAATAGCCAGGGAAGTATTAAAGCCTTGGAAACAGGCCCTCATTAGTCAGCAGGAGCACTGAATTACCACCAGCCTATCAAGGACTTAGAAGGTCACGGTTGGGCAGCATAAGCAAATGACAGCCAATGACATAAAAACCAACACACCCCAATCAACGTGTAAAAAGGCACTCACAACAGGCACTATAAATACCACACAAACGGCACACATTCTTCTTGAGAGAAGTTCCCTGAAGATGGTCCATTTTCTGATTTAAAAGGAGGCAACCAAAAGTTGGAGAAGAAGCTACAACATTTCAATAAAACTATGGCATCAGAAGGTTTTTTTATCCTGTATATGATTGTATTAAAGAAAACCTCTACCTATGACAATTTGTAGGACATTTCCTTTTTGAAAATTCTAATCTACTGGTAATATTGCTCTTATTTTTACAGTTGTTCTCCAACTGGTTTGTTTATTTCCATATTATTTTCCAAAATTTGGGTAACCAGCATGTCAAAACCTAACATTTTGATCCTAATGGCAGATGATCTTGGAACTGGTGATCTGGGATGCTTTGGAAATGAAACTATCAGGTAAACGTTACAAAAAAAAAGTATATTTTTAAAACTAGGTTTAAAGGAGTTTTTAAACACTGTTCAAGAATAATGCACTAATTTCTAATGGGGGATAATAAGGAAGCTAAATTAAGTGACATGAAAATATTGTCTATCGGTGCAAAATATCTAAGAAGCCATATAAAGGATACATATACAGTTAGGACTACAACATGAACCATAGATGGTACATGTCTCAGTGACACTGCATGCATCATGATTATTATATAAGCAAGCAGGTACCTAGATACAAATAGATATTTCAATATAGGAGATGGATCTCTTGTATTATTATGCCTGTTTGCTTAGAAAAACACAAAAATAGAAGGTACACAACAGAAGCCCTTTAATTTGACTAAGTTATCCAATTATGCATTTCCAGCAGACTTCAAATTAGGAATATCAGTTTCCATAAGGTATTAGATTCCCATGTAGTCCCATTCAATTTTGCCATCTAGTGGCAACAGCAATTGCTGAGTTACATCTGACTTGCAAAGCTAAATCAGCCACACAACATCTTTGAGCTGAGGGAGAAAAAAGAAATTATATTTCTGCCTAAGTCCTTTCTTTCTACATGTCATGTCTCCTTTGTGTGGCGGAGAGACAGTCATCCACTGATGTCAATCAAATGACTCCTCACACTCTTAATATATGCAACCCAGATGAAGGCAGGTAAATTTATGAATGTACATGCAATGCATTTGGTTCCATAGGAGCCAAAGCAGCTTCTGTCTTGCAAAAATTCATATTCAGTGCAGTATCTGACACCATGGATATATGGGAAAGGAGGGCTTCTCAGGAATGCTTATGTGGTACGTATTTGGGATTAATAACAACTGAATAGGAAAGATAGAATTGATTCAAATTCATCTTATTTGTTATTGATTCAAATTCATCTTATTTAACTTGTTAAATTAGCAACAAGTTAAACAAAATCAAGAATGGCTTTTGTAAACAAATCAAAGAATTTTTTTTGCTAAGAGTAACAAAGCGATATGTTTCTGTAAGATGAAAATGTGTAACTTTTTACATTTTTCTGTTTTCCACCGAAAACTGAAGTTCTTATGCTTCAAAGTTTCCAGATTTTTTAAAAAAAACTCTAATTGCATTATGCCTAAGGACATTTACCCATGCGGTAGAGCTATATTAGTATTATCCTTCTCATCTTTCCTATTGTCTTCTTTTATTGGTATCTTATGGTTATTACTTTGTTGTTTGTACGTACACTGAGAGCTTCTGCACCAGAGGCACATTCCTTGTGTGTCCAATCACTTGGCCAATGAAGAATAAAAATACAGAATACCATTCAGGATTTTTGAAAAAACAAAACTCTTTGGGATAGACTCAGAAGTATCTTACTGCAACAATCAGATACCATCTAACAAACAATTGACTGTTTCTTACAATATGAACAATATTTTTATAGCCAATACATTCTTGAAGTGAAAAAAGTCGAATTCTATTGTTCTTTAGAAAGAAATAGTTCAAAGCATGATTTAAAATGGAAAAACTTTAGGAAAGCTGACATGTTTAATCATGCTTTATTTTTAATTGATTTTCTGTCTTTCTCTGTTTCTTCCTCCCTCCTGGACAAAAGGTGGAAGTCTCTGGGAGATTCATTATGTGGCTCCAAACTTTCAACCAAGGGGGTCTGAGGGATGTTATAGAAAGATCATGTGCCCATGTTCAGGAGACAATGTGACCCATTATAAGCCTCCTTTGGTTTCTGACCTCTTAAGAGATCCTTCAGAATCAACTCCACTTTCCCCAACTTCTGAACTACGTTTTGACATCATTATAAGCCAAGCTGAAGAAGCAGTGAGAAAACACCAATTGACTGTCACTCATGTCCCGAATCAACTGGATCTTCCAAGTAATCAATGGGAAAAAAATCCGCAACCATGTTGTGGAATTTTCCCTTTCTGTTGCTGTGATAAAGAAACCAATTAATTCCTGATAGAACTGTCAAAGAAGCAATGTTGTCTGTCTATTAAAACATTTTGGATATCTTGAAATCGTGTTACCGATGGTTACTGAATGGCTTAAAAATTACCTTGGAGAAGATAATAAAAAACAATATTTTATTTTTTTAAAAAACAGATTGTATACTAAAGGGGAATGAATAATATTTAAATTTTTAATGAAAGAAGGAACAGTGCTGGTCACTTTTAGCAGCAGAATTTAATTTGCTCACAGTGTTTCTGAAATATCCTAAGATATAAAAAAAATCACATCTTCAAAAAGTTAGGAAGCCTTGGAAAACAGAATTCTAGAGGTGGGGCCATCACCCCAAAACAAGATTATTACTGTCACCTAAAGAACATCTGCACTGGAAATGAGACCAGCAGCTAATTCCCTAGACCAGGGGTGTCAAATTCACATCCACATTGGGTGTTCATAAGCTTGACCTTTGAAGTAATGTCTTGGTATTTCTCACTGCCACAAACTATATCCTAGGAAACACCACACCTGGATTTCCCCACAGCCACTCAAATCCTGGAGTGATAAGTTCCTATACTATGTGTTGCTCTGTGGCCATTGCTAGATAGAGGTAAAGTATACATAATTATTAAAGTACTCCCCTTGGACCCAGAGTGTCAAAGCATATGAATGGAATATTAAACTTTTCCCCTTGGAAATAAACTACTTTCAAGGAATAAGGATATATTTATATTTTACAAGAAAAGTATAAATTGACGAGGTAGGCAGTACATAAATAAATAGATAAATAAATATAAAATAATAATAATAATAAATAAAATAAATTGTATAAAAATATATTTAGTCTTAAATGTTAAAATGCAGGTTTTCAGTGCTGGAAAAGACTGTTGTACCAGAGTCCCCAGAGCAAGGCATAAATATGATCTGCAAATGTCAATATAAGAATTCCAACAGACCACAAGATGGCGCAATTTGCTACCAAAAAGGAAAATGTTTTTTAAGAGATCAGAGTCAAATAACTGCTTACAGAACAGAAGAAATAGCAAGAGCATTCAGTAAGCAAGAATAGAATAGAATAGAATAGAATAGAATAGAATAGAATAGAATAGAATAGAATAGAATAGAATACTTTATTGGCCAAGTGTGATTGGACACACAAGGAATTTGTCTTGGTGTAAATACTCTCAGTATACATAAAGAAAAGGTACATTCATATCTACTCACAGGTGATGGTTCTCAAATCTTTCTATATACAGGCACCACTAACTTCAAACACACATACAGGAGAGAGAAAACCATCAAGGCAGAAGTAACTATGTAAGTTTTAATCAAGTACCTTTCTGTGAACAGAAAGTAATAATGAGAATTACAGATGTCATCACAAATCTATACCGATACTATTTAAGATTACATTGCTAACCTCCCAGTCTAGTATTGTTCTTCAACCTACTCTTAGTATGATAGTCTTTACTGCCAACAGACAATATGAAATTCGTATCAATCCTTTTAATGCAGGTATTACAAAGAAAATAAGGGGACCCTCATTCAGGCAAAATGTATGGCATATTTTTAATTTATGGCATAAATCAATACTTCTATGAGAAATCTGATGGTATTTTAGCTAGAGCGAAACCTCGGGGAGGAAATCTGAAAAATCTGACGGTCTAAGATTGATCTTTGAGGGAAAGAACATGTGTTTGTGTGTCACTCTCGCTAAAATACTGTATTTTACTGGATACTCTTATGGGTTAGTGAAAAGAGCCGTGTCTACACTTTTGCTTAAGAGTGAAGTTTTGTCTCGGTCTCTTAATGAACTCTAAACTTCCTAGCTGGAGTTTAAGTCCTTGGCAGATTTGCTCAGATCCTGCAGTGAGTGCTGGTTTTCTTCCGGGGAAGGAACAGGTTTTGAACATGGGGATTGCTACACCTCTGTTGGGGCCCTTATTTCTGTCTAAAAGGTGGGCTTTATTCTAAGCTTCCTTGAATCAAGACCACTGATGTTTCTTTCTGTGTACACATCTCTTTTTACTTTTTTAAAATAGCTTTTAGCATAATAATTTCTTGCTGCAAAAGTTTACCTAATTGTTTCATACTGTAACATGCTAGATTAGCGACAAAGGAAAACATACCCTAAATTTATTTCATCTTTCTTTCTCTTTCCCTTTTTCTTCTAATATAGAAAAGCTATCACTGCAAATTTACTAACGCAAATCTTTTCTTTACGACACTTTAAATAGGTGGGGTTTTTTATTAATTAAAAAGTTGTGTAACTCTTAATTAAAAAGGCTGATCATTCTACTTGAAAAAACAAACAAGGCACAAATATCTTAAAAGGATTGAAATATGATTATTTTTCCCAGCCCTCTGCTTTTATTTGTAGCCTGGTATATGTAGCAATAAAGAAGCTGTTTTGAGCATTTTCCCCCCAGCATTAAATGTTTGATCATATTAAAAAGAAGTTCTTTTACACAATTTTTCCTAGTCAGGTTTTAGATAAAAAGACCTAAAGGAGAAATAAAGTGATGCTGATAAAGAAAGAAAACAACAGTTCTCCAAGATTGCTCAAATGAGGGCCCAGATTGTTGGGAGCCATGCATTGACACTGTAAACCACTTAGAGAGGGCTGTAAAGCACTGAGAAGTGTTATATAAATCTATGGATTATTGCTATTGTTCTCAGTCTAACCAAATAAACAAAAATTGGAAAAATTAGTTAGATTGAACAAGTACACTCACCTTGCTTGTTTGACAGACATTCATTTTACTAAAAGACAATTGTAAAAGTGTTACAATATTCATTTGATTCTATTAATTTGACTTCTTACTGTATACACAAAATATTTCAAAGGGTTATATGGTTTTTAAACAAAATCTTATCTGCAGATGGGATCTGTAGTTTTCATCTGTTATTGGATCTTGAAACGGTAACTGCAGGTATCAACTAATTGTACTAATAAATTATAATAAATTTTGGCTTGCCAAAAACTAATTCTCATATACCTTAGTCTCTAGGATGTTTGTGTGTGTGTGTACTTGACATCTTTTTACAAGTATTATTTGCTTTCCTTAATTTTGATTTCAGAATCTACTTGGTGACCCTCTTGGCTTCTCTTATATTGCTTCATACCTGTAGAATGGGTGCAGCTCTTGATTCTAAGCCAAATATCATTCTGATGTTGGCTGATGATCTTGGAATTGGAGATATAGGCTGTTATGGTAACACTACTATCAAGTAAGATATTCGCAGATGACTTTTATATTGCTTTAAAGCTGGTTAAGCAGTTGGACAATGTGCTTTATTGTAAGCTACCCTGTGAGAACAGTGGCTATATAAATTTGACAAATAAGTAAATACATGTATATAACATTGGTGAATCTATCCAAATGTTTCATTTAACTTCATTTGATTTACTTAATTTACTTAATCTACTGCATTAAGTCTTATTTGTGTATATCACTAAGTATTATGCTTAAATAACTTTCATGTATGATTATTTAATCTGCTACATATTGCTTTGGTGTACCCCAGCTGTCACACTTAAGTTTTGTTATGCATAGAGCCACACAACCTACAGATCTCCCAAATGAAGATATGTCTGATTTCAATTCCCATAATTGCAAATGAGAACACGTGGAATTATGGAATCCAGAGAGCAGCAGGATAGGGAACATGGCTTCAACCTTCTCAACTTATGCGTTTACTTCTATTTTATATTTTGTTTTGCTGTAATTAATCCTCTTTCAGAATTTAGGACTTTTATGAATAATTTTCAGAAAGTAATGTAAAGTAATTGAATTTCAGTCAATTTAAAGATTGCAAGTAGATGTCTATTTTTATACAATATGCTAGTTTATACATGTTAAACTCTGACTCATGGAGCCAGTCTGATTCTGAAACACTAAGCATTATATGTTTATATATATCACATGGAGTCAAAAACAATACTGTGATTTAGCAAGATGTGTAACCCAGTCTTCGATATCCCTTGAAACATTGTCTTTAAGAAATGTAAGAAAAACATGAGTTGTTTTCAATCTGTATTTTTTAGGACAGAAATCAAACAGAACAGTTTCAGGCCTTTTTTATGTGCTCCCACCAAAATCCTTCCTTCAATGGTAGAAGCTAAAAACAATTTAGGACAGAGCTCATCAAAGTGGAAAATCATTTTTCCATTCTTTTTGGGCGATTTTTCTCCTCCATTGTCCTTGATATGCTGATATAATTTGGCTTAATTTCCTCCCCCCAAAATCCTCTGGATCTTTCCAATCAACTGCCTTTCCCACTACATTTTCTCCTCCTTCTGCCTTCTGCCTTTAGAGCTGAGGATGACAACGCAGCTGGATGCTGCCATATGGAAAATTTTCCGCTATGGACTTTGAACTCCGTAAGAGGCTAAATACATGATATATCTTGCAGACTCTTCCTTCTCAATGCATCCTGTTAGATATTTACATATGCACCTCTGATTGGCTGGTCAGAGGTGGCGGGAAATTAAACAGCCGTCACTGGTTGTAACCGCTGTAAAAGGAGCTGCTGCGGCTGTTGTTCTTTGTTCTGAATGATACAATAAACAGGAGTAAACAATCGGAGCCTCCCCACGTTCTCTCGCCCACAATTTAACACATCCTATTCGATGCATAGATAGCAGAAGTATAAATATTTTGCAGCAGCAATCAGGAACACAACCACACATAGATACTACTTCCCACCTAGCAGACTCTTCAGCTAGAGCATCTCTATATGTTGTTGAAAGTACAAGCATACCAGTCAAATCACTTTGGCTATTGCTATATTGTTTTACGTTTTATAGTTCTTTTTCTATGACTAGCTCCTTTTTAGTTACCTACTTACATTAACATTTTATATTTTTATTGTAGGACCCCTAACATTGACCAACTAGCTAAGGAAGGAGTGAAACTTACTCAGCATATTGCAGCAGCCTCACTTTGTACCCCAAGTAGAGCGGCTTTACTGACTGGCAGATACCCCATCAGATCAGGTAAAGGAGTGGTCTTTTTTTAATCATAGAGTTGGATAAATGAAATCACATAAACCAAATGTGATATAAAGGATTTAAGGAATGGGACTACTATAACATAACAATGACATAACAAAACAACTGGGAACAGGAAAATATATTTGATGCCACAAAAACAAAGATAACAGAGCTGTGATGGCACAGTGGTTAGAATGCAGTATTGCAGGCTAATTCTTCTGAATGCCAGGGTTCAATCCTGACCAGCTCAGGGTTGACTCAGCCTTCCATCCAGAGGTGATATTCAGCAGGTTCTGGCCAGTTCTGAAGAACCAGTAATAAAAAAAAATTGAATCCCACTACTGCTTTCATCCTTCCAAGGTCAGCAAAATGAAGATCCAGATTGTTGGGGCCAAGAGACTGACTCTGTAAACTGCTTAGAAAGGGCTGTAAAGCAATGTGAAGTAGTATATCAGTCTATATAAATGCTTTTGCTATCAATATTGGGAACACCAACAAGGAAGATTATTCTGTAATATTCATTAGTGTTCTTGTAATATAGTACAGGTTTTGCATGTTTTAGTTCTCTGGCATGTATTCCTTTGACTGTCTTTTACATGCTCCTTGGGGATGCTTCAGTTCTCAATTATTGTTAAGGTCAAAAGTACATTAGTTCAAGCAACAGACCACCAACTACTGCAAATGATAAGGTAATTCATAGCCATTCATAGTCTAGGCTACACAGTGCCATCATCTACTACTACGCTACATATTGCATATGTGTATTACATTTGCAGTCATTGCCATTGTTGTAGACATATGTAGCTTGTTAATGAAAAAAGGGAATGTAAAGAATGCAACCTTTAAACAATTGATAGCTACTTTTGTCACTAATTTTGATATGAGATGGGCAGTTTGATATGAGATCCGCTTTTTTACAGCAGGCAACATATTTTATTTTTCTGGACAGATCAGGGGTGGGGGAAGGGATGCTGAAAGTGGAAATACAGGCTCTTTCTCTCATTCTCAGATTCAGCTGACACTTGTCTTGACCAAATAATTGGATTATGATGGATATGTGATCATAATGATCTGATTCTAGTGAATGGGTGCCAGCTAACTCACATTTCTGATGATTCCTTCTTCTTCTCATTTCTCGTAAAGGCATTTAGAGCCAGCCTGAGGGAAGTTACAAAAGACTTGATTTAAGGAAGGATTTGAACAACAATTACACAATCCAGAGATCAAAGCCAAACATGAAACAGAAACTCAAAATAATCTGAGCTTTACTTTGTTTAGCGTAAAATACGATCAGAAGAAAACATGGACAGCCTTGCAAGATTCCTACACTGGGGTTTGGATTTAAATCTGTCCTTTTAACTGTGGTGTTATAATCCAGGCACAGAAAGTCTTTTATTTCCTTGCTGGTTCCTTTATCTAGCCTTCTTTCCAAGAACATCTCCATCAAGTGTTCATCAGATGCAAGCAGGATTACAATTCCCAACTTCTAAAACAGCATGGGCATTAGCTTGGTCCCTGTCATTTTGGTTGAGAAGTTTGGGAGTCAATATCCAAATTAAGCTGAAAGATACCAGCACAGAGAAGATTGGTCTATTGATTCTGTAGTCTAAGTTTTGTGTTTGATCTGGATCACTTATAATAATTTGCAAATGTTGTAGAATGTGTTTTCCTCATGCAAACTATGATAAATCACATATATATAGAAAAAACCAATGCAGATATGGTACAAATTCATTTGTCTGATGAATCTGGTGCAAATTTACTGTTTTGCTTTAATGCCTTCCAGAAGTCAATAAAGTGTATAGAGCATAAGTGTCATGAAAACATTAACCATTTCCCTTTTATTTTGAAGGTCAAATCATCTCTTATGTTTTCCCATCTTGGTGTACTTGTACCTGGTGCTTATTACATAGTATAATATATGCAAAGTCACTGTTTAAATGGAGAGTTACATGACTACATTCACTCAATGAATTTGTAGAATTGGATATATTTCCAATTAGAAAATGACAATACCGTTTGCTACAGATTACAGGTAAAATGAATTTGTATTTGCAGGCATGGCTTCAAGAAATGCCTATCGAGTTTTGATGTGGAATGCTGGCTCAGGAGGACTTCCAGTCAATGAGACAACTTTTGCCAAGATGCTACAACAGCAAGGCTATGCCACAGGCCTTATAGGTTTGTAGAAAGTTATTATAAAGTTTCTATATGAGTGTTTCTCGATTAGTTAACCTCATCAGTGCTAATTGAGGAATTCTGTGAGTTGAAGTCCATACATATTAAAGGTATGGGATTGAAAAACACTGCTCTAAGATTTGGGTGTAAAAATAAATACTAAACCTTAGAAGCAGAATTTGTGCATTACTATATCAGGAATTGCAAATATCTCTCCATCTATTTTTTTTTTTTTGTCATTCTCACCTACAAAATAGAGGCAAAATTCTCTATTATCACCTATAAAATAGAAAAAAAATCTTTTTTCCAAAAAAAGAATGCTATTGGACTAGACCCAATATATTTTATCTAATATATTAGATCAACTAGCACTAATATATTAGATCAACTAGCACTAATATATTAGATCAAATATATTGGGTCTAGTCCAATAGCATTCTTTTTTAGGAAAATATTTTTTTTTCTGAATTTTCTTCACTCTGGATGTTCTGACAACTAATTTTAGATGTATTTTGAAATGATATAACAGCATAAGAAGGCATTGTTTTCTTTGTTTCTTAGGCCTAAACATATAAAGACATAAATGTAAAATGAGCTCTGGCTATTGTACTAACTGCTTCTTCTAAATATAGTTGCTACTGTTCATTAAAAGTTCTATTTCCTATCATCAGTATGAATGTTATGGGGTTTGAGAATTAATCATACAAGAGGTTGGCAGACTTTTTATGCAAGAAGGAGAAGATAGTTGCATGAGATTATTATACTTTCAAAGAGGATCACTGTATTATTACAAGCTTTACTAATTAATCTAGTTAATTAGATTATATTAATTAGTTAATCTATTAATTTTATGTTGCTAGTCAATGTATGATATGCCATATGCTAAATAATAACAAGATTTGGGAAAAATAATGATTTTCGTTTGGGCAATACCCTGGTAAGCCTCTTGAAAGTGCCATTGTTTCTGGTTTCTGTTTTGTAAACTGACACAGTGATAAGACAACAATATTTTTCCTCATTAGCAAGCATTTTAATTAAAGTAGAATGTAATGATATTAGAATCACTAGACCAAGCCAGGAAATCACCTTCATAAGATGGCTAAAATTACTGATATAGGTTATAATAAAAAAAAATTCAAGTCTCATTGTGCTGTACCTTCATCATTTTCTTATACTCTAATGAATTAAGGAAGTTGACTGGATCATTTCCAAATATTTTCTCATTTTTCAATTTATTTATTTTTTGCCTAGCTAACAGTTCTTGTATATTTATGTCAAGGCCAACCTTCTTAATCTCTGCAAATAATAGGATGTACACAGCCATATTTAAATAAGAACATAGAAAAACCTGCTAAATAAGATTAATGGCCCTTCTGGTTCCCACCAAGGTCAACAAGTTGCTGGGGAATCCACAAGGTAGATCAAAGATCCCAACCCTCTTAATTATCTATGTTAGGACAAGGCAAAATACACACAGTTTCCTCATTTTGCACCAGAGTAATACATTAACTGCATAGAGGTTAAGACAGTGTCAAGTTTCACATATATGGCTATGAGCATTGTGAGGAATATGAATAAATTCTACAATTTACTCAATTTATTCATGTAGGCATGGTCGTGATTCAACCAAAATAGAGGAAAAACACAAGGACAGACCAAGAGGTAGTTTCTAACGTAAATCATCCAACCGGTAGTTACACCAGTCAGATCCCATTCCTGGAGGGAATTTGTGTATATACCATCCAAATAAATTGATTAATGCATAAATTTGCAAGGATAATTAACATATTTTCTTCTGGTAGCATAGTAATTTAAGATATTTTGTAAGAAATTTCACTAAATGCTAACATAATTCTGGAAAAAAAAAATTAAAAATAGCCTGGTAACTGATTTATGTTTGGAACTAAACCTAAAATCATCAGATTTAGCATTACCTAAATATAATATTTATCATAGAACTCCTAGAAATATATAATATCTTCTCAAGTCATATCTGTTTTGACTTTATATTCTTTCATCTCCATAAAAGTGAGTATATCCTTTAGAAGTGGACACTGCAAGATTTCACTCTCAGTTGTACCATGGAACAAGATCATCAAGTTTAATTTTCTGATAATTTTCAACACAAATATTCTTTCTTTGTAGGAAGTCATGTAAAGGTAACATAGTAGGTTTACATTATTGTTAAAGAATAGTAGAGAAACAATATAGTGAGACCATTCTTCAAGAACACAGTTTCTGTCATTTTAAATTTAGATTTAAATGGAAATGGGGGATATTTTTGGAGTACTGTGTTTACTGAGTACTGAGATTATCCCAAAGAACAAATCTGACTAAGTAATACTTTCCATTTTGATTTTCAGGGAAATGGCATCAAGGTGTAAACTGTGATAGTAACAATGATTATTGCCACCATCCTTTGAATCACGGCTTTGATTATTTTTATGGCATGCCCTTCACACTTTTCAACAATTGCCAGGATAACAAACCTCCAGAACTGGATGGAGCCTTTCAAGCTAAACTATGGTTCTATACACAAGTCATTACTTTTGCAGTACTCACATTTTTTATTGGAAAAATTACTGGGTTGGTGTCCATTCCTTGGAAAGTGGTCCTCTTCCTTGCTTTGTTTAATTTCCTATTTTTTGCTTCATGGTACTCCTCTTATGGCTTTGTGAAATACTGGAACTGTATCTTGATGCGCAACTATAACATCACTGAACAACCTATGAAACTAGAAAGAACAACTTTTGTTTTACTAAATGAAGCACTTTCTTTTATTCAAAGGTAATAAGTAGATCTATCTAAATATCAAATACCAAAAGTCCAGGTAGTCCTCTTACAACAACTCATTTAATGATGGTTCAAAGTTATAACAGCACTGAAAAAAGTGACTTAATGAGTGTTTTTCACACAACCGTTGCAGCATCCCCATCATTTTGTGATCAGAATTCAGATGCTTGGCAGCTAGTTCTTATTTGTGATGACTGCCATGTCCTGGAATCATGTGATCCCCTTTTGTAGCCTTCTGACAAGCAAATTTGATGGGAAGTCAGATTCACTTAACAATCATGTTACTAACTTAACAACTGCAGTGGTTTACTTAACGGTGGCAGGAAAGGTTGTAAAATGGAGCAAAAGTCACTTAACTATGTCATTTAGCAACAGAAATTTTGGCACAATTGTGGTTGTAAGTCAAGGACTACCTGTATAGAAATTTGCTAAATGGAATCTAAATATGATTGTTTTGTTTGTTTAAGTAAGAAACACAAGCCATTTCTCCTGTTCGTTTCGTTTCTGCATGTCCATACACCTCTGTTTACAACTGAAAAATTTGTTGGAAAGAGCAAACATGGTACATATGGAGACAATGTAGAAGAACTGGACTGGTTAGTAGGTGAGTTGCTTCTCCTGCTACAGAATAGACTTAAACCTGTCTCAAGAAGGATTAAAATATGGTTAATCTATGATTATATAATTGTCTACCCTTTATTTCCTGTTTTGAACAGCAATATTGTCTAGAATTCTTAAGTTATTTCTGACCAGTTGGAAGAAGAAAAAAAGAAACAATTTGAAGTGGTTGGGAATTGGGAATATTATATATTTAATTTTTCAGATGTAGTTGTGTGTGTTATGATGTCCCATCTCAATCCTTGTGTGTTACTTTCCTAATGAAATAGGGAGTTGTCTTAGTGTTTTAGGCAGGATAAAAAGTTTCCTTAATGGTACCATATACAAGACTTAGAATACTGTTATTGTCACTTTGAATGTACACTAATCGGCATGCACTAAAATGAAATTTGGTTGCATACAGTACCACTTCCAATATACACTACATAAACATGACAAAATAAATAAATATAAAATTATGCTTATATCCACAGAGAAACAACGCAGTCTAGTTTGGATGTATACATGTACATGGCAAGAAAAACAAAGGAGAATGCAGCTATAGCAGTACAGACTGGTTCATCTGTTCTGCTGTGCACATCTAATAAATATATATATATATTCATGAATATATATATATATTTGAATATATATTCATTAGATATACACAACCTTGACAGGCTAAATTGTTCATTAATTGTAACTTGATTAAAGTGCTGGCCTGCCCACATCTATATTCATAACACTTTCCAACATAACCTTGAGGAGTATAAAATTTTATTAGGCTTTATCACTCATGACCTTAGGGAACAGTTGGGTGATTAGGAACAGTTTTACAGTGGACTGTCAGAGTTCATGCAAACCTAGCAATGTATGTCCAACTAGAAACTCAGTTTCTCTCTGCAGTTCATATTCCAACTGGTGGGGCCCAGGAAGAGAGTCTTGTCTGACGTCGTCCCTGCCCTTTGGAATATTCTCCCTCACACAGAGAGAGATCAGGCAGGCACCCACCTCCAGAAGGGTTTGAAAACTTGGTTTTGCTGTTTTGTTTAGGGCTTACAGAGGAGCACACCGCCCCAGGGCCCCTGAAGGACCACCCCTCCTTTTAATTCCCTTTTAACATATATGCATTTTTTTAAAAATAATTATACATACAGTTGTTATGTTATAATATTTTATTCATTGCGAGAGTAAGGGGGATTTCAAAATTTGATAGATATAATAGGTTAGACTGAATTAGATTAGATTATCTTTAGATTAAATTAGATTGAAGATGATAGACAGACAGACAGACAGAGATAGAGATAACTTTTCAGGTCCAACATTTCATTCCTAGACTTTTTATACCATATTTTAGGTAGATTTCTGACTGTTTGCTTCCCAATCTTGAAGATAGACTTCCAGCTTGAAGGCTTACTAGCATGCTTTTGTTGTCAGAAGGAACTTTCACACAGGGGAGAATTTTCTGATTTCAGAATAATTTCTCTTCAAACTGACTACAGTAGAACCTCTGGTCACGACCATAATTTGTCCCATAACTTTGGTCACAACCCGATTTGGTCATGAACCTAATTTTGGAAATTCAGCACTTACCAAAAAATGGTGCAGAAGGGGAAATCGGCTGCAGGAAAAAAATGTGAATTTTTTGGTCAGAACCTGATTTGGTTGTGGTCAGAAGCATTCATGACCACAGGTTCTACGTATCTCCTGTATTTTATCAAAGTGACCCTAGGCCCCCGTTGTTCAGGAGCATCATTTGATAGAGTTTCATTCACAAATAAGGTGTTCTGACCCAAACCTTGTTCCAGGGAAGCAAACACAAAACAGAGGTAACAGAAAAAACTTTTAATGATTCTTTACGAATTCCGTTCCTTCACGGTTAAAAGGCTGTTTCAAATTAATTATCTCTGATAAGAACGAGCCTTGCCAAGGTGGTGCAAGGCTGCCAAGAATACTAGATAAAGTGACTAAAAAATATTTCAAACACAAAGACTCTCTAAACACCAACCAAGATATTCCAAACATCCACAAGGCTTGAGTGCAAAAACTTCTTTGCTTCCTGCAAAGAACTCCAGTTTCTCAGCTGGCTTTTATTTCTTTTTTTTTTTAACAAACTTTATTCAGTTTTTCACATTGAAAACAAAAATCTCTTTTTAGTGGACAACATATTTCCGGGTCATCATCTTTATATACAAATATGACAACAATTATACACTGATATATGCATACTTAATTCTATTATTGCCTTTTCCATTCCAAATTTTCAGTAAGGAGAGAAACAAACACATTAATTCTGGCCTCTTTCATTAATCTCAATCGATTTTGTTTCATTTCAATTATTTCAAATATAATCCTTTGGTATTTGTTTTTAAACATAAAGATAAACAATATGTATTTGCCTAATAATAATAATAAAGTTTGATTCTAAATTCTTTCATTAATCTCAGTCTAAACATCTTTTTATTTCATTTCAATTATTTCAAATATAATCCTTAATATTTATTTTAAAAATAAAAATAAACAATATATATTTGCCTAATAGTAGTAATAATGAAGTTACCAATGTCTCTCCTTGCTTTTAATAATCTATATTAAACTTATTAATTTAGCTGGTTCTTTAGTCTGTCATATTCCCTTTCCATTACACATTTATTTTGAATTCTAAATTAATACAAATTTTAACACACCCACACAAAAAGAAAAAAGAACAAATATAAGTTTCCCTTCTTTTACTATTTTGAGTGTGACGCCTTAATGATTAGAATATACCTTTATTCCCTCATCTTAATTCCCAATAAACCATTAATCATTACATCTTTTCAATTGGATTCCACAGCATATCCCCCCCCCCTTTAATAAGAGTTATCAGTATCTATATTACCCTACTTTCTAAATATTTTTAATTGCAGAAATATTCTTATTACCCCTTGTCACCCTGTGGACTCCCCTTTATAATTCATCAACCATTATCTCTGAAAAAGCAATTTCTTTTCAACATTTTGCTAGTTCTGTGTTTCTTTCTTTCACATGCCTGTTTCTTACTGCTTCTCCTCCCCCTCTTTTCCCCATATCTTTTCTCATTCCAATTTATGTCCCTCTCTTTCTTAATATCTTCCTTTCCCCTTTTCTGCTGAATCTTCCTGCCTTTCCTAACTTCACAGGTATTCCCTTTTTTAATTGCTTTCTTAAAACTCAACTTTTTAACCTTCCTTCTTTCCCCACTTCTTTGTAGCGTTCTTTGTTTTAATTGTCTATTTAAAATGTCTTCTCTTTGAGTCGATTCCTCCTCCTCTGAGAATCTTTCTTCTTGTTCTTCAATCGCCATTTCCATTTTTTCTAGCACAGAGCAAAGTGATTCGCCTCTTTCCTGTAGTAATTCTCTCATATTTTTAAGTTCCATTTTTAATTCCCAAAGAGATATCATCATTCTTATATTTTAAAATTGTTAAAGTCCACAAAAAGAAACCACTTTTACTTTCCTTCTTTCTTCTTTCAGTTTTTTAAAGTTCTCAGTTATTCCAGTCCAGGGTTTATACCAAAAACATCAATCAGTCCCACAATCTTTCCTTGCTTTTTCTTTTATTCTGGTTCTGCTTTCAACTTCTAAAATTCTTACTTTGTTTCAATATTTCTGTAATGTTATATCCACACCAGTTCATTCAAAAAACAGGATGCTTTCCCTTTTATTTGAACCAAATTTTTATCAAAAGGTGACACTCTCCATTATACAAAGTCTTCACCTTTTTCCCCTATTTTTTTATTTAAGGTTTTTCGAACCTCATATATATTCCAACACAATCCAGTCTCCAATTTGTAAACTTTGTTATTATTATTCTTTGACAATCTTAAGTCCAGCTTTAGTTTTATACTTGTTTATTCCCAAATTATTTTAGTCCAATTTCATTAAATCTTTAATTCCAGCTTCTTCCTTTCCCGGATCAAAGCCCCATTTAGCTGTCAGAAATATTTTTCTTTTTTTCTCTATCCCTTTGTAATTTCGCCGCTCACTTTTCTTTTCTTCAAAATTCTATGTTACCTTAGTCCCAGGGTACTTTTATTTAGTTATATTGTCCAGTTGTCCTGGTTCAGATGTTATCCACCTCTTTCTTCCCTCCTGCACAAATCTTAATCGAGCTGAGTCATCCTCTCCGGGATGGCCATTTTAGACCACCGCTGCAGTCGTCTTCGGGAGGAAAAAAAACCAAGCCCAGGGGGGGGAGATGCGGCTCCCCACAATCAGGCTTGCTACTTCCTCTTACTCCGCTGCCCCTTCCTCTGCCCCTCCAAGGCAGTATCAGCCCCTAATCAGAATGATTGGGGCTCTCCGACGAAAGAGCACGTGCGATAGCCGCAGAGAGTTGCGATCTACCGCCCGTTGGCAAGGAGGCTCTGCCTTCTTCCAGCTGGCTTTTATTTCTTGAGGGAGGGGCCATTACCTTGCAGCCTTACTCCCAAGTCACCCATGCTGCTGTAGCTGCTCTTTCCTTCGAACAGCCCTGCGCACTGGGCACAGGCTCCTCAGGAACCTCTTCATCACTGCTGCCAGCGTCCACAATCTCCGAAGGCAGCATTCTACTCCCTGATGGTCCTGGCCCCACCCCTGCATCACACATAGGCCTCTCATCTGAGTCCTCACTCTCTGAGACCTCAGGCATCCGCACCTGCTGCAGGCAAACCACAACATTTCATAAGGTTTGGGATCTAAGTTAGAGATGGCAAATTCACAGGATTATTTTGAGGAAACAATGTCTTTTTAAAGGGAAATATGGTGAGCACCATGAATAATTAAAATATTATTTTTGTTATTCTTTGAATATTTTGGTATAATTCTGTATAAGGTGGATCTCTCTCTCTCTCTCTCCCCATGCAGGTCAGATTCTTAATGCTATTGACAAGGAAGGCTTGCGAAATAGCACCTTTGTCTACTTTGCTTCAGACCATGGAGGACATCTGGAAGGTCAAGAAGGAACAATACAGGTTGGGGGTTGGAATGGCATCTACAAAGGTGAATAAGGCAGTAAGACTGTCTGTCTACCTAGAATTTTGGAAGTCATTCTTCTGACTATATTCCAGGATCAGTACATAAGCATACCCAGTGGTGTTCAAGTACACATTTCTTTTTCATTGATAGCCTCTGTAGATTGGTATCTCAAGAAACTAATAAATGCTAGGCTGAATTATACACACGAACAATACCTGCTGACTTGGGCACAATATAGGAATATTTAAAATATAGGAATAAAAAGTGATTCAGATTATAACTAAAATTGATGAAGCTGAGCTTTTTTTCCCAATTATTTTATTCAAAATGATTAAAATAGAAAATAAAAAAGTTAAATAATATTTATTCTTTTGTATTTTCTATTTTAATCTTGTTGATTAAAGTAAAAATTTGAAAGTATATTTATTTGTTTCCACTGATTTTCAGATGCTTTGGCTCAAGGGAGCTGTGAGTGTTTAAGTTGATGATTAAGGTATTAATCATTTACATAAGTTTCAATTTCATTCTTTCAATCTGTTTTTAGTAATCTTTGTAATGTTTGAAGAAATTTGGACATGCTGGTTCTTTTCAAGCAATTGTTCTTTTCCAACACTTGATCTTCAAAATGAGAGCAAGCGTTATTCTCTGTAAATATATACAATATAATATTACAAGCCAATTTAGTATACCTGCTAATAGCTGCAATTATGTTGTGTCCATAACACAGGGGGCAAAGGCATGGGAGGCTGGGAAGGAGGTATCCGTGTTCCGGGCATAGTTCGATGGCCAGGAATGTTGCCAGCAAATATTGTTCTTGATGAGCCAACAAGCCTCATGGATATTTTTCCCACAGTGATTCATTTGGCTGGAAAAGATGTGCCCCAGGACAGGTATAGAACCTGAATTCTTACTGTACCTATATTTAAATTATTCATAAGTGATCCAATAGTTTCTTTATCAATATATATAATAGAATCTTGTTTCTTCTGTCCTTCTTTTGAAATCAATATGGATTAATGGGCAGTTTCCAGATATCATTCCTAAAATAGTCCTTTAAAGAAATTGTTCTTTGCCATTTACTCAAAATTGCTTAACAATAATCTCCAGGATATCTAATACATCATCTAGGATTATGAGTATTACATCAACTGTGATCGTATATGTGCTGAAAGCATTTTCTGCAGTTTCTTTATAATACTGATGGTGCTGTAAAGCTGCTTCCTTTGTATCTGTACCATTTTGTCATCTTTGCAAATGTTTATTTATACATTTTAATTAATTACTTGTTCCCCTGCTGAACACTGAAACACAGTTTTGTTTACTGCATAATACACTTAAAGCAATGTTTCTCAACCTTAGGAACATTAAGATATGTTAAGTCCAATTCCCAGAAATCCCTAACCAGGAGCTTCTCTGGAGCACTCTGGAAGTTGAAGTCCATGTATTTTAAAGATTGAGAATAAGACACAGCAAATTATTACAAATCCTGAAACAAGTGAGACTAGATGACAAAGACATCTGAATCATAAAGAATCTATATTGGCATCAGGTAGCAAATGTGAGACCAGGCCGAAAATACTCAGATAATAGAGAAATATGAAAAGGGTTGTATTCTGTCTCTGTTGCTTAATATCTACTCTGAATCCATTTTCAACAAAGCACTAGAAAACATTGAAGCTGGCCTTAAAGTAAAGGATCAGCAATTTAAGATATGCTGATGACACAGTTCTGCTTGCCAGTAAGCATGAAGACCTTCAGTTACTCATCACAGAGTCACAGAAATATCTGAAAAATACGACTTGAAGCTTAGCACATCAAAACCCAAGATCATGGTCATCAGCAAACAATTCATTACTTTACCACCGATAACTTTAGAAGGAATGCCACTAGAAAAGGTTGAAAGTATCACCTATCTTGGTTCTAATTTACATGAAAGCTGGAACATGACAGCATTCTTCAAAATGAAAAAGGTCTTCTGAAGTCATAACATAAGCCTAAGATTGAAAATCAGGCTTGTCAGATGTTACCTATTTTCTATCCAGCTCTATGGAGTGGAGAGTTGGTCTCTGACAGAAAGTCACTTGAAGAGACTAGAAGCATTTGAAAGGTGGGTGTACAGGCAGCTATTACATATAAGTAGGGTTGACAAAATCAGAAATGAGGAGGTGATAAGATGCCTGGGAAAGCCAAGAGAAATCATCAAAACCCTAAAAAAGTTAAAGTTAAAATATTTTGAACATTTGATGTGATACCCAGAAAAATACAGCATACCTCAGTTAATCCTCCAAGGAAAGATTGAAGGTAAATGAGGTCTAGGCAGAAGAACATCATGGCTTCAAAATCTAAGGGACTGGGTTGGACAAAACTCAACAGCACTTTTTCGTGTGGCTGTTGATAAAAATAAGATCACCAACATAATCGCCAATGTCCACAAGAAAAAGGAGATTGAGAAATGCTAATTTAAAGTATTGCTTAAGTAGCAAGCAGTATGAAAATTATACTTTTCTCTAAAAATTATTTGCATTTTTAGAAAGATTCTATTCAGTTTATTTCAAAAAATATTATTTTTAATATATTTTTTAAAATATAAGATATATATAGTCCATCTTAATATGTATATTAACAACATGCAGAAAAAATATTGGAAAATAATTATCTGTCACATTAACATAGATTTGATCGTATCAGCCTAAATATAGGATCTAATTTACTTACTTTTGGGTGACTACTATTTCCTGTACCACTGTAGAATAATTGATGGAAGAAATCTTCTACCTTTATTGCAACAAAAAGTCAAACACTCGGAACATGAATTCCTGTTTCATTACTGTGGAAGTTATTTACATGCAGTGCGGTGGCATCAAAAAGACAGTGAGTGAAACGGGTTCTCCTGCATATATCCCTCCAAAATAACATACCCACATATCACCAGAGAATTATTTATTTAGTCACTAACACATAATCATAAAAGACCATAAGTATCTAAAATTACTTTGAGAAGAGGGTGGGGTGAATGCAATCAGAATTGTGAGCAAAATAAGAACACTGAGAAACAGGAGGGAACAAATTCACAGGTAATGATTTATCCTGTAAAGAAATGCCTAAGGCTAATCCGTAAATAACTTAATACTACTTCGTACGTGAGAAAATGATCAAAACCAATGCAAAATAATTATTTTGTTCAGACTTCTTTGACTATAATTTGTTAAAGAAGCCATGGTTTATACATGAAAGTGACAGTTTTTATACAAAAGACAAACCATGTTGAGGCTTAGTGCAAGATAAAAATCACATTTGTATCCTGGTAAAAGAGCTTTTGCATTGGGTATGACGATGATGATGATGATGATGATGATGATGATGATGATGATGACGACAATAACAACAACAATAACAGCAACAATAGAATTCTTTATTAGCCAAGTGTGATTGGACACACAAAGAATTTGTCTTGGTGCATATGCTCTCAATGTATATAAAAGTGTACATAAAAAGAGCAGACATGACTTTTTGGTGCTGGCAAGAACTTTTTGTTTGATATCCAAAATGAAAATAAATCTACATATTCTTCATATCCTATCTTCATAAATACTTTGATACTGTTTGTTTTATGTTTTGTTTCTAACAGGTGGTGCTTTATGGAAGGCTCATTATGTGACACCAATATTTTCCAGTGAAGATGCAGGGGGTTGTTATGAAAAAGGAATCTGTCCATGTTCTGGAGAAGGTATCATCCATCATGTTCCTCCATTGTTGTTTGATCTCTCAAGAGATCCATCAGAGGCCAAGCCTTTATCAGAGACCACTGAACCACTCTTTCAGGAAATTCTTAAGAAAATAGATGAGGCCGTGGAGAAGCATCACAGAACTCTTACTCCTGTCCCACAACAGCTCTCTTACTACAACATCATTTGGAAACCATGGCTCCAGCCATGCTGTGGGATATTTCCATTTTGTTGGTGCAACAAGGAAGGTACTAACATCAATTCAAATTAATATAGACTACCCAAAAATGATATTAAATGAAAATTAACTTTAAAACTGAGTCTCAACCACTCTTTAGGTCAAATGCGTGGATCAAGGAAAACAAAAAACTTTGGTGTTTTGGAAAACAAAAAGCTTGTAATTCCTTCTTCTGCAAGGACACCAAGAAAACAGTCAAGCAATAAAAATAAAGTCAGCTCTAAACTGAGTTTAACGGAACCCTGTATTTATAGTAATTTCCCCTTATTGCCCGGTATTATCTGTTATTACCCCTTATTACCCACTCACATTCATAGTAGTTAATCCTCGTATCTTAATTAATCCACCATTTGCTACATTCACATCAACATTTCCGTAACAAAACGGCTCCCCCTCAATACACCCTCTGTGTTTATTATTCAGGATCATTGCTGGTGAATTGGAATCGCCATCCTTCCAGATCGATATCATCATCAGAGCTCCATTGGTCGCTTGTGTTGCGTGGTCATGACAATGAGAATTTCAGTTAACATTATGAACTTCTTCAATTTGATACGTTTTTTCAATTAAGATTGCTTGTTTGTCAAGCATTTATTCCTTATAATCTTTCTATCTTTTGTGGATAACAGATTTTTTTAAAAAAAAAATTATTGAGACAGTACTGGGATTATTATTACAAATTCATGTATACTTTACCAAATGGTCTTAGCAAAAGACCATATAATTCACCCTAATGACAGTCAAACTAATTTGTACCCAGAAGATCTAAATTTATCCTGTACTTATTCACTTAAAAGGATACAACATTCTTTTCATAGAAATACACACTAGTGAATGAAAACATAACTTTGAAATGCATATTCCATAAAATATACTGTATACACCCAAACACATTAATGATAAATCTACAATATATTCCCTTGTAATAAGTTGATATACCCACCATCTTCAACATTAATTTTATTTTACAAATCCCTACCGTCTTCTCTTCTGCAACCATATGAAGCTCAGAGGCATTCATAATTTGGTTAGAAATCTTTTTTCTCTCTCAAGACATCCTAATTGCTGGGAAAGTGAGGGAGGGAGGGAAGGAATGGAAAGAAGGAGGGAAAGAAAGAAAGAGAGAGAGAGAGAGAGAGAAAGGAAAGAAAGAGAGAGAGAGAGAAAGAAAGAAAGAAAGAAAGAAAGAAAGAAAGAAAGAAAGAAAGAAAGAAAGAAAGAAAGAAAGAAAGAAAGAAAGA